ATTTTTTTTTCATGAAAAATGATGAAAAGCCATTAAATTCACAAATCAATGATTAAATCATTGAAATCATATGAAGAATCATATAGGAACCAAAAATGTTGAATTTAAAGGTAAGAGAATGTCGCCCTTTCTTGAGAGGAAGAAAATCGCTTAAAAATCTGACTTCAAATTGACTGCTATCACCTCCTAGCTATGCGTCTCTAAACAACCCTCCAAATTCTAGGAATTGCTACCCATTATTTCCATGAGTTCCAAATAAATAGATAAGGATAAGGGTCGAGAGAGAGGGGGGAGAGAATATTCACGAACATCCTTTTTAATATATTACTCATAAAAATATGAAAATATATTTGTAATGAAGCTTACTTAGAGGATATTAATACGGCACTCTAGAAAGTTCAATCATACAAAGACTGTCAATCATATTCATCATACATATTATATAGATCTAGCTGATTTAATCATATGTATACAATCATTCATCGAGAATTCATTCGATATGACATGTGGTATGCATACGGGAATATCACATTGATCAAGTTTTCATAGGAAAGCTAATATACACACAAACATAGTTCACTTTAGGCAGGGCTTGTGCCACTGTGCATGTGCACTGGGCTTTTGTCTAGTAGTTATTATATCATTTTCCATCCCCAACATTTAGAACACATGATATACACCAATTGATCACTTTTAGCACACTAATGAAATTGTATTGATACAGTGGAAGTAGGGACCCGCACCAAGTGGACCCGGGAGCCACTGGATCGATTGGTCCAAATTTCGGCCCAGGTGGGGTCCGCGTATAGAGAGGGGGAGCCGGTTGAGGGGGTGGGGCCCAGCAGAGAATTAAAACATTATATTTGGAGAAAATTAATTAGAATCATGGATGTGACCATCGCATCGTCCACCTGATTTGGGGTTGTTTATTTTACCCACAAGTTTATTGTTGAAATGAATCATCCTGCTCATTGCAGCAAGTGCACAGATTTTAAAGTTTATTACCTTGTTTAGAAATATATATATATATATATATGAGATTCTCAAGCCTGAAGAGCATTTTATTTTTATATTTCAAAATTATTAATTTATTAAAACATTTGTGCTTTTGATTTTTAGAACCAAAGTTTCCTTAATTCCATAGAACACAAGGAAGATATTTTCCCCACATTGCACTATAAAAACTTTGTAGACTGGAAGCAACGAGATTAATTTTTAAACACTTTCTACAACCTGTATGGTTTCTAAATCGTCAGGCTTGATTGCATTTAAGTTTCAATTAAATCCTTATAAAACAGAAGAATCCAATAATTTAAGATGGCTACTCAAGCTATAGAGTAGTTGTGAATGAATCGAGATTCCAATGGATAAACAAGCATTGGATGCATCATAAATTTCCAGCATATTTTGTCATATCCAGTAAGAATTAAAAAGCCGAGTATTATTATGCATTGTTTGAAGTTATATCAAACATGACTCGATGACAATAAGCATTTTGCAAAGATACTACCTTTTACATATATAATGTTATATCTGCTATATAATATCGTTTTGATGATATAAAATTTTCTTTCAACAAAATATTTTAGACTAGTCTAATAAGAAAAAAAAATACTAGAAATATATGGTCAATTGCTATTTAGTAATTATTTGAATTGGTGTTTGGCAAGTCTTTCTAAGAAAAATCCTTTAAAAGATGGGAATTTGGTTTTGTTTTATTAATTGTTTGAATTGTATGATTAAACAATTGCAGAAATTATCAATGTTTTGGATGAAAAATTAAGAACAAGCGGCCTAGTTATTTTCTTATGTGAGTTTCTTGCCTTTGTATTTTTTTTACTGGGTCGTTTACATCATTGCAGCGGATTGATCTACTGGACCTGTCATTCTGATGATTGAACTTGGCTTTCTTGGGGAAATGGTAAGTTTAACTGACGCTATAACTTGGTTACTGAGCGGGGTTGAAGTTATACATATTTTATAGTGTAGATTTCCTCTTACTTTTACAATCGGCTGCTACCAACTTTACTACCTACTGTACAAGGAGTACATTATCCCATGAACCTTAATGTGTGGCCATCTTTAATGGAGGAAAAAGAAAAATATATAAGATTTGGGTTGATATTTGAGAAATTGCTTTCCAATGCTCTTTTTTGCTGTATAAATGTTCCAATATTTACTTCAGTATGTTTTAGCTTGGGTTTGTGCTGTCCAATTTATTATTCTCCCTATCTATTTTTGTAACGTCATAAGGTTCACTTCAACATTTTGGTGGACTAGAAAGATTTACAAATCATTTAGTATGGTATGAGTACGTTACTGAAGTTAAGCGTACTTTTATATTTTCTCTTGAAAAAAGTTAACAAACCTCAGATACTCAGTCGTAATGTATACTTGAAAATTCAGTGTTTTTATTTTATTTATTTTAATATGCTGAACGGCTGTTTAAAACAACTTTAATACGTCTATTGTACTTGAAACAGAACACTAAAAAGGCACTAAGATATAAACATTTTACTTAAAAACTTTCATTCCCCCGCAAGTAAATGGAAAGTTTCCGTTGGTTTAATGCTCTGCTTTTACGTTAGCATTGATGTACGCTAAATATGGCGTCTCTTTATTGATTATTCTTTGTTTTTTAATTGAAGCCATTGGGTTGTTGAGGTTTCTGTGGTTGATGCTCTTCATTCTACATTTAATTCATTCGATATTTGGTTTTCATATTGCTTTAAAGGTAGCAACTTCGATTTTTGAGCTGCTGTTGTTGCCTTAAGCTGAACTATTATCTTGATTGTTCTTGCCTAGGTAGACGGATGAAATTCGATTCACACAAACAATATTAATGAGGTTTTTCGTTTTTTATTTTTTATTTTTATCATCTGATGGTACATCTCATTGGCCTTCTGATGACCCAATTAGGAGAATAAATGTATTAGATTTGGCCTATATTAAGAAAGACAAAAACAGACATAAAAAAAATTTGTTAGAAAATATTAGAAATGATATTTTTTGTATTAAATTTAAATGAGAATTTGACTCTTAACATGACACAATATAGAAAAAAGGATTTATATAGTCGACCTCATGTAGTGGGATAAGATTTGACGTTGTTTTATCTGATGGTACACCTCAATCAAAATCAATGTCTGTGTTCTCAAATCAACCTATTCCATAACGTCCTGCTACTTCTTTAAAGAAATCTTCTAGATGTCTTGTATCCATTGAAAATTGCTCGAATTGGTAAATCGTTACGGTTAGTGTTTATGATATCTACTTTTGAGATCGGGTCTGCGGCCGAGTGGTCGACTGAAGGAATTCCTCCCATCTCATCCAGGCTCGAATCCCCTAACAGTCCCCAAATAAAAGAAAAATCTTCTTCAGAAGTTTCTTCTGAGTGTGCTGGCAAAATTTTTGCTCAAGCCTATAGTTTTTGCTGATGCAAGATAGGGTGGATTTAAGGAAGACCATTGCGCTCTGTGTTTTTGGTTGTCTGTGGTGTGCTTTGTTCAATCATTGGGAGAAAAAAATTAGCTCATGCTGACAAAAAAACTTGGTGAGGGTGATGAGTTTAAATTTTATTGAATTTCTTAGTGTTATATATGAAGAATTTATTTTACACACCTTGAAAGCTGTTATGAATAAAATTGCACATCTTTCCCAATTATTGGCCATGCCAGCGCTCTTTGGTCGATAAGTTAAAGAGGAACATACAAACAAATGAGATTTTGCACAGGTAAAGGGAGCATCACATGCAATTTTAATTTCATTTGGGACGAATTTCTTAAATTTTTGTACTAAAAAACTGCTTTAAAAAACAGCAAGAAAACAGTCCCAAATGAAGCCTTAATAACTAGATTTTTCTGTTCATGGGAAGTTTTGATGAGGGTTTATCTTGAATGAATAATAGCCTCTACCATGCATCGAAACTCAACTAGTAGAAACAGAATCTCAAGCCCAAAGCAATATTAACCTACAAAGCAATATTTATGATTCTAAATTTCAGCGGTCCTGAAGGTTTTTTTATTATTTTTTTGGCAGGAAAGATTTCCCTTGTCAATTTAGACAGTGATTATTTGTTGAAAATTTATTGTCAAAACAAGATGTAAATTTTTTCTCTCCTCATAGAATAGTTCTACGTTATTGCGCTGATAGATAGGTTATTTTTTCTGTAATATGAATCAAATGTGTTAACAAATTGACATAGGAGCTTCCACTGGACCGAACTTTTGGTCCAATTCTACTGCAGCTTTTGATTCAGGCAAAGGCTGAACTTGCACCTATACATTCAGTCGCCTCCATTGTTTTCTCCAGGTTTGGTTCAGTCCAGAACTGAATCTGCTGTTGTTGTTCAGCCTAGTTTTGGGTTTCTTTATTTCTGTTTTGATTGGATAGTCATAGTCTATAAATAGTTGTAGATCTCTCTCTCTCTCTCTCTCTCGGTGGAGAAAAAGATAGAGTTTAGTTTTCTTGTATTTTTTACATAATTTTTTCTTTAAATCCAGATATTTAGGCTTCGCTTTCTTACTGCTTCTTAAAGCGGCTTTTTATTATAAAAATTTTAACTTTTTAACTAGAAAGCTGCTTTAAGAAGCAGGAAGAAAACCGTCCCAAACGAAGCCTTAGTTTTCTTTTTCCGCACCTTCTCAATGATAAATTCATCCAGTTACATGCCATTGAGAAGGTTCTTGAATACAGAAAAGTTCTTGTTGATTCCATTGTTAAATTGGTAGCCATCAAGATTAAAGGCTACATCTACCCATTTTATTATTATTATTATTATTATTATTATTATTATTATTATTATTATTATTATATAAAATATAAATACTACAGTATATGGTTACAGACTGACAAAATAATTAAATAAATAATTATGACTGCACAAAAAAATTTAAAAAATACCTATATAGATTCAGACAAATCAAATCTTGAAGGCACTATTGAATGATCTCTTTTTCTTTTCCTTGATTGGAAATAGAATGCAGATTAGGTGTGAGCCATTACAACTCAACATGTCACACACATCAATTGAAATTTCTAAATATTTTATTTATTAAGCATTCAACTGGGTCTAGAAGCACTTGATAATCATTTATTGTACTGAACACAATAATGCTTGTTCTCATTACAAATTTAAATGACAATATACAAAAAAATAAATAACTAACTGATTTATTATTAGAAAAGAAAGTAACATAATTCTCTCATACCCTTATACCTCTTATCAGAAGCTCTACTGACTATACATGCTAGCATTTATGACTCTCAATGTTTAGCACATATAAGATATTCATATATTTATGTTTTTATGACTCATTGTGCGTTTCGAATCAGAACATAACTTTCATCACATATCAAATTTTGTTATAATCACACATTTAAAGTAGAAAAGCATATAATTCATTATAGTGTAGTAAAAAAAATCAATTTTAAAATTTAGGAGAATGCTACAAGATAAAACTAGTAAGTAGAATTTTATAGTTTCATAATATAACCAAATTATCAAGGATTTTCATAATATTATTTTGAAACTTTAATTATATTACAATAATATTTTTTGGGTCAGAATAAATTTTTCGTGAAATAAAATAGTGAAATTTTCAAATTATCATGTATAAGTTTTTTAGAAAAATATATAAATGTTTAGAATTACTAGCTCTATGACACATATAAAGTTATATGATAAAAATTTTGTGGATATAAAGTTTTCCTTTTTTCTTAATACATATTTATATAAATTAGGATCAGGAAAATTTCAAGTTTCATATTTTTAAAGACTGTGGAAGATGAAATGTAACTTCTCTTAATTTGAGCATTTTCTTGAACGCCAGAAAATGAATCGGAGGCGCAAAAAACTTGACTCTCTCACTAGAATTCTCCATTTCTCTGACATGTGATTTATGATGGTCTCCTTGACCTAGTGGAGGTTGACTGTGGGATGTATAAATGGAAGTGGAGTTATAAGTAGACTTTCTGACATGTACATTACTCTGCATATAATTGTATATTCTATTAAATAAAATAAGTTAAATATAAAGGATATTTTGGTAAAAGGAATAAGTTCAATTATAAAAAAAATGTTATGAAAATAAGTATGATTTGTAACTTCCGTATAAGTAAACTTTGAAATTGTGTATAAAAATACGTACTCTATTCTATTCTAGAGACCAATACATTTTGATATCAATGTAAAAGTGCAAGAACATTATGCATCTATAAAAAAGTAAATTCTAACATCTTTTTAGAAAAATAATAGTTACTTCATGTTTACTTGAATTTAATATTTCAAACCTTTTATTTATAAATTACAAATATTGGTATTGAAAATAGGACATGGGTATGCCTACTGAGTTATAAATACTCACTATGTTGATTTCTAGCATTTCAGGGAAAGAGAAGAGCCCAACAGAGTGAGGTCATAAGGTACAGTTCAATTAGGCTTTTCTATTAAGATATTTTGTAATTCATTTTTCATTTTTTGATGTATAAAATCAATTTAAACTACACTATTTGTACATGAATTATTTTAGAAATAAGAATTTAGATGGTTGTTATTTCTATTTATTATTTTCGATTTCTTAGTATGCTCTAGTGTGTTATATAATGGTCGAGAAACTTAGGTTTAGGAATTCAATTCTTCCATTAGATCATGGGGTTGATAATAATATTTTCTACGCAAGATGTACAATAAGTTTGTAATCTTGTTATTGTGGCGGTAACGGTGAAAATGTAGCGTCTAATTTCATGGTGGAAAAATTAAATTTGTCAACAATGCCAAGGCAAGGTTTGTAATCTTGTTAAATACATTAATGACAATGCCTACCAAATAGAACTATCGGATAATCTACAAGTGTTTGTTGCCTTTCAGTGTTTCATATTTATCTTTCTATTAGGAGGATGTATTGGGTTTTGTTGATGGTGAAACTTTTTATCCTATCCTTGTCACCTGAAATTATTCCGTGCGGATACGGACGCTGTCTGGAGTTGAATAAAAATGTGCCAAGTCACCCGTTTGTTGTGTATCATGACTGTGCACGCTGTGTATCGAATGATGTGGCACATTCTGATTCACCTCCGAACGATCCGATATCCACATAGAATAATTTCTTCCTTGTCACACACCAAAGCGCAGCTCGAATGCAATCCAAAAAGCCCTATTGATTAGGGTTGCAAGCAAACCAAACGTTCGACGAGCTACTTCTTGTTCGGTTCGATTAAAGCTCGTTTGCGATCGTTTAATTAACTAAACAAACAAACTTGAACAATATTTTAAATACTCGATTCTTAAATAAACAAACTTGAATACTAATACGTTCGGCTCATTTATGTTCGCGAACAACATCATTTGAAATTCGTGAGCAAGCTCGTCATTATGCTCGATTCGTGTTCGATTTTGAAGCTCGATAAAAATAATTAATAGTTGACTATAGAATTAATAAATATAAATAATCATTACCTTTGTTAAATAGACAATTGCTTTTATTATACATGTGTTTGTTCATATATATGTTCATGAACGTATTTGTTTGATACTTAAAACAATTCATTAAATATGTTTGCGAACAAGCTCGATAAACACTAAACGAACGAACATAAACTGAACATAAACCGAACATGAACACTCCTTAATTTAAATGAACCAAACATGAACACCAACGCTAAAGCTCGAACAAACATGAACCAAACTTGAACAAGCTGGTATTAAATGAACACAAATATGAACACTCACATACTCGGTTCGGCTCGGTTCGGTTGCAGTCCTACTATTGATTATGGATCCTACTGCGAATTCACGCCGATCAACCATATCATAAAAGCATACGAACAATAGTGCGATGGAGTCTGAAGCTGACCAACCAAACTTATTATTAAAGTCATTTAAAACTAATCTTCGTATGCTCGGAAAGCAGATTAACGTATAAACATTATTAGTTTCTCTTTAGGCGGCAATTACAAGATTCATTCAAGAAGCTTAGCTTACCATCCTCCATTTAATTACTTCTAATTAAAGGCCAATTTAAAGGAGTTTTATTGTAATTTTTTTCCCATTTTGAATATAAAATGTTGTGTTTGGAATTTCAAACTAAAATGCAAAAAGGGAATTCATATTGCAATAGAGGGATTTCTGCCAAATGTTTATAATTCAAAAAGTTTTTTTTTAATTTAGTGCTAAATCAAATATTCAACTTTTTTACCACTTTTTAAAATAATTTTTTTAGTATAAATTTTTAATTAAAAAATTTATTATGCTAAAAATTTATTTTTAAAAACAATAAGAAAATTATCTCAAATGAAATGAAGCAATAGAAAAATTATCTCAAATGAAATGAAGCTTTAGGCTTTGTTTTGTGATGGCTTTTTTTATGCTTCCAAAAATAATTTTTTAGTAAACAATTTTTTATTATACTAAAAAAATTATTTTATAAAAAAAATATGAAATCTATGAGAGCACATATTTGTGGTGGAATTTAATTCTTTTTAAAATAACTTTTTAGTTAAAAATTTTGTATCAAAACATTGTTTTAAAAACCAATAAAAAAAACTTTATCAAATGAAATCTCAATCTAATATTATTTTTTTTACAAAAAGAGCACATATTTGTGGAACAAAAATAATTATTAGAAAAAAAAAAAGACAAGTTTAATAATTCATTCAAAATTTCAAAACAGGCAAATTGTTTAGCCAGCTTTGGATCTTTTCAGCTTTTCTCTTGGTATTATTACATGTGCATCCCAGATCATTATTAGCAGGACAAAGCCTTTATTCTTTTCTTTCTTCTCCTTCATAAAAAAAAAATTTCTTCAGTACCTCGCATGAACATACAGAAAATCACATTTTCCCATTGAGTTTTAACTTTTAACTTTCAAGTACAAAAATCACGCAACAAAAAAATTTATTAAGGGTCAGTTCGCAACAGGTGAGTTTTAGGGGTGATAGCGAAACAATCAAGAAAAATAAAAAAAATAATGGAAAGAAAAGAAAAAAATTCAAAATACAAAAAAATTATGGGGTCACACCATATTAAAAAGTCCAATATAAAAATTTATGCAAATCTCTCCTCTCTCGCTCTCTTCTTGCTCCAATTCTCTTTTACATTATTCCTACATATGGATAAATAAATAGATATAATGCATACCACCAAATGATACCACCTTTAAAAAAAATGAGAAAGAAAAATTATAAAGCCGGCCTTGCAACGCTACTGTGCTAGTTTGGAGCATCACGACACTCTACGCTCTGTCTCCAATATATCTGACAGCATCGCAACACTAGATATTTACTGCTGCAACACTTTACTTTCTGTCTTTTCTTCAAGTGAATTATACAACACTAAATGCTCTAGTACATAACACATTGGGGCATGGGTACAGTGTCGGGACATTGTATTAACAAAAAATTCTAACTACAAAACACCTGAACCAAAGCAAAGGAAGGACCCCCACGTACGGCAAATTATTAGGTACGGTGACCAGACCGTCCGGAAGCCAATCTAGACGCGCCACGTCACCCGGATACACTGGACCTCAGATACATCTGGATGACATGGCGCATCTGGATTGGTGTCCGGACGAATCCGGACACCGGACGTAATAATTTTCCCCCACGTACAACCTCCAATGAGCACAACAAATTGAGTCAGAATCCATGGCAACAATCAACCTCATTGATTGACATAATCAAATTTCACACATAGAATCTATGTTTAATGAATCCTCCATATGTAAATCTCAAATTTTTTTTATAAAATAATTATTAAATCTAGAATTTAAGACAATTATTTTATTTAAATATTAAATTTAAGTACAAATTACTAAACTAATTTCTTTGTTCTTGTTACTTTTCCTTATTGGCGTTTATTTGTTGTTGTTTTTCCTGATCTCCAATGCAACACCCAACGCTAGTTTGCTCTCGCAACCGGATTTGTAGAAAAAAATCGCGAAAAGGGAGAATGATCGTTACCTTCGCAGAAACACCTAAAATGGAGTTTGATTGGAGCAGAATTACAACATTTTGAAATTTTGCTGTATTTTACCGTGAAAAATGGAGTTCTCGGTTGGAGATGCCCTTAGTAGATCCAAGATGTACTAAGAACAAAAAGAAGGTATATAAACCCAGATTTATTTACAGAGGTTACAAATTTACAGCAGCCATGCTTAAAACCCGCTACCAAACAGCCCCTATAACTTTTCAAGCCAAGTCCTGAATATGATCTTTATATGAATGAAATTCGAACTCCCTCAAAGCCACCAAACATCATAAACTGCAGATTTTTCCAACATTTTCACATAGTAACACTAAAAAGAACACATTTTAAACCGTCGAGAATCAACGAAGTACCACAAATGTGACATCAAAGAGTAAATGATGTCAAATACTTCTAATCACCAAATTTCACTGAAATCCAGTTCCACACATACATATATATGGCGTCATCCATCACCTAAACAAAGTAAACTATAACTAAAGCTTCATTTGGCTCGGCTTTCTTATAGCTTCTTAAGACAGATTTTTAATTAAAAACTGCTTTAAGAAGCTGCAAAAAAGCCACCCCAAACGAAACTAAATTAAAGCTAATCAAACCTTCAGCCCAAGCAGATCAGGCCACACCCTTCCTCTAGCGATGAGGACAAAAGGTAACAAGATAACTCGCACCCGTACACGTTAGAATACTCGTCGGATCATCATAAGCGTACGAGTACGCTCGCGGACACGCCGACTTAAACAGCCGAGAGTACGCCGTCGGCTTGCACAGTTGCGGACTCCCGAAGCTCCCCGTACAGCAATACCTCGGCGATCCGAAAGCCGAGCAAGCACTCTTACACGCCACGACCCGACTACCCGGCCCGGCCCGAACGGCCAGCCCGGCTGGACACACCTCGTTCAAATCGCTAACGCAGCCCGCGTCACCGCAGCGACCCGCACCGCGAAAGGGTCGCATGGAGAGGCCGAGGTTGTAGCCGTCGACGAGGCTGACGTCGTAAAAGTCCTGCGTGCGGGGAGTGGAGCCGAGCGTGATCTCGGCGAGAGTGGCGGGGGGAGTCCCGCCCAGGCCATTGCAGTATAGATTTCCGCCGCAGTCGCCGGTGGCGCAGCGGCCGTGGCCGGATGAGTCGAAGGAGCAGCCTTGGCGGCCCCAGATGCGGCCAGACCAGGCGTCGGGGAGGCGGAGAGAGTAGGCTTGGTTGGGGAGGAGGAGGAAGCCTCCGCGGGCGAGGATGGGTCTGCCGGCGCTGGGCTGAATGCCCGGCCAAACAGGTTCTTTGCATTTGTTGAAGAGGGCTAAGGTGGCGGAGTTGGCCACGAAGAAGGTTGAGGCGAAGAGGGCGGCGAAAAATGGGGCAATGCGGTGGAGATCTCTTAAGTTTGAAGACATTGCTTGCTGCTGCTGCTGCTGCTGCTGCTGCTGCTATCTCTCTCTCCCCCGGTTGCACGGTAAAGGAGATGGGGGAATAGGGGGATGGAAGGGGTCGCTCTTCTTTATTTCTGCCATCCGAATTTTTCTAATTTTTAATAGGGTATTTCTGTAATTATATAATTTGCAGAGGAAATTTAAAATGGTCAACTCTACAGTGTCGTTATAATGAGTCTGCAGCAACCCACACAAAGAAGGAGAGTGGCAGAATGGAAAAAAATGAAACGAGCATTATTATTTATTTTTTACTACACGCAGCTCACCTGGATTTATTGGATGATTGTGTGAACTATGAATTTGACTTAATGATTTACATATCTAAAGAAATATTTTTAATATATTTGTTCTCATAAATGCTCTCAAGAATTTTATGGATTTACATGTATTTAAATTTTTTTAATTTATTATATAATTTTATTCATATAATATTTGCAAATTTTAAATGTTAATAAAAATAATTTGTATCCCAAAATATCATTCAAATTTTATCTTTCTTACATAGTGTTAATCCCATTAATATCATATTCATCGTTTATTTTTAGACTTACGATACAATTAAGAATTTGTTTTGGACGACTTTCTTATTGCTATTTAAAACAGCTTTTTAGTATAAAAAATTTAATATTTAAACAAAAAATTACTTTAAAAAGCAATAAAAAAGTTGTCCTAAACAAAGCCTAAGTCAAATAAATTCACACATCACATATGTAAGTTTCGAACTTAAGACTTCTTGATTGATAGTCAAAGCTCTCAACTAATAGATCAAAGTGAGCTGCATTCATAGCCATTTTTACTTTCACCCTAAAGAGCTTATCATATTTTATTAACCACATAAGCTTGGGTTAATTTGCATATATTTTTCATATTTTAGGAGAAAATTCTGATCCAATTATTTTTTATCTTTAAATCGCATATTATATTTGTTAACTTTTTAGCCAAAAAATGATGTTCATATCTAATTTTTCTGAAGTACTACCATCTAAGGTCTTAGCATCGTAAGAAGATTTAGCACATGAAATAGATAAAAAAAGAGATAAAAGATACTAAGATTTCAATGAGAAATACTAATCTAGTTGAAATGATTCTACTATATTTGATTATAAATATTGTCTTTCCTTATAATTGAAGAGGCATTTATAAAATATAGTAGAAGTAAGTTATAAAGAATGAATTCTACAGAGGATGTTGGGAGAGCTTTGTGGAATTCAAGTTGTTTTCAATAGAATATTTGTTAGCTATTATAAAGAATGAATTCTTTCAAGAAGATGATCATTGTGATGCACCTGAATTTAATTAGGAAGAATTATTCTTATTTTTTCTTTTAATAAATAGCGATCAGAGCTAACAATTCTAGATATATATATATATATATATATCACTACCTAGAAGTTACTTTTTGTGGCCGAAAAATCCACCGCAAAATATTTGCGGTGGATTTGCGATGGAGTCAAAATTATTTGTGACGATTTGCAGTGAATTAAAAAAACCATGAATTTGCGGTGAATTAAAAAACCATGAATTTGAACCTCACCAGCTACCCCTGTTTAAGACTCTCGCTGCCCGCTTCCCTGCCCGAGCGTCTGACCAGCTACCCACTGCCCTACCTGAGCAACTAAACAGACTGATTGGCCTGTCCGAAATTCGAACCTACGCCATTTGTAAAATAATTCCCTTTTCCAATCGGTTGTGGAGGCAAAACACAATAGAGAGCTTTTTTTATTTATATTATAACTCAGCTTGTGGCAGATTTACGACGGCCATCTCCGCTGCAAAAAAAAAAAGGTTAAAATTTTCGTTTCAAATCAAATGCCATTTTCGATAAAAAGAAATCTACCATAAAGTCTGCCGCGAATCAATTGTAAATTGCCAACTTTTCCTGTAGTGTATATTATCATTGCTCCCAAAATTATCATGTATATTACTCATGAATCATACAATCACAACACAACCTTTTATTCATGAGTACAAAATAATAATTAAAACAAAAAGGAACTTAACCAAAGGAATCATTGTCACGACCCAACCCGAGACGAGACGGATCCCGTTCGCACCGGGCCGCGACGGAGAAGCTAACCAGGATCTAGCTTTGGAATTTGGTTTGGAACTGAATCTTCCAAATATTTAACTCAAAACAGACAAACACAGAGCTACTAAAAACATCAAATGCAGCGGAACAAAAAATTTATCTTTTTCTTTCTTTTCCTCAAAACAATCATCTACAAAACAGTACATGGCTTTAAACAGAAAGAAAGACAGAACAGAAAAGTCATGACTGTACAAAAATCAAAAGGTACATAACAATACCTATACTGATCAGACTCTGAACTAATCCTGGACTTCCTTTGTAATATCAGTTTTTGCTCCAGGTTCGTCCGGACGAAGTCGGATCGTCCGGGACGATCGGTACAGGTTGTGCAGAGAAAATCAGTTTTGGTTGTATGATTCGTCGGGACGAAAATTGGATCGTCTGGACGAAAATTCTCCCGTGAACCCTTCGCCAGGGACGATATGTCATTTTTCGTCTGGACGGAATTCCTCTCTTCATGGATCGTCCGGTACGAAGCTCGTTCGTCCAGTACGATCAGTCTGGATATATATAGAAATGAGATATTTTGAAGAGAGAGAAAAAGCTGAGGAGAGAGAAAAACGAAGGAAAAAGTGGAAAAGTGGATTTTCGGACGACGCCCTAGAGTTAGGAAGGTCAACGCCAACATATACGGTTCGCTTATAGTTCGCCGCATATGTTGGGGGTCCGTTTGTTGACCTCGATTTTGGCTTGGATTTGCTCGAGTATCTTCGATCGATTCAATCGAACGTTGTCGAGTCCAATTTGAACTCAAATCGACCCGATTTGAGCCGAATTCGACTCGACTATGTTCGATTAGACTCGATTCTTTTGTTTTGATTGCGTCGAGCTCGATTCAATTTAAATTAGCATTGGTTTTGAATTTAATTTCGTGCAATTTGATTCGTCGCGCTGGCTCGAACCCGCATTGATTCGAATTGAGTCAAATTCAGGCTCGAGTTTAATCTAATTTTAACCCAATGAGACCTGTTTCGATTCAATTTAATCCTGGCCAAATTCCTCTAACTTTCTAATTAATTTGAATCTATTTTCCTGATCGAGTGATGGTCTCGACGGTTCGGATTGCCCCGAATTTCGAGTTCTGTCGCAATCGCAGACTTCAGTCGCGTGAGCCCCTGAATTGGTAATCGATTCGAACGACTGTGCGAAGAAGCAGAAGGTCGCAAGGCTATTTCGATGATTCGAGCGAAGCAGGACATGGGGAGACGCTTAGAAGACCGAGAGGAAGCCTTCGGCAACCTCACTCTCTCCCGCTCCTTCTCTCTCTGGCTCTCGTTTTCCACCCAGGAACCCATTCGCTCTCCCTCTCTTCCTCTCCAGTTCGCACGACTCCAGGCCAAAACGAGACAGCGCCTCCCTACCGCTCTCACTCCTCGGCTTCGCAAGATCCGACCGAACCCGACGCCGGCTAGGCCTCCCCTCTCCCGTCCGACCTCCAGGGCCGAACCCGTCGCCTTGACCGACGTCAGCCTGGACGAGCGACCCGAGCTTCATCTCCCCTATCTTGGCCGATTGACCTCCAAGGCTACAGGTAGCTTCTTCTTCTCCTTCTCTTGCTTCCACCTCTTCTTCTCAACCCTTCTCTTCCTCTTCTTGGTTTATTAACTTCTCAACCAGATTTCTTATTTTCCTTTCTTTTCTTCTTTTCCTCTCCTTCTTTTTCTTTTTTTTTATATATTATTCTCTTTCAATGACCAAATGAAATGGATTTGATAGAGTGTTCATCTTGTTTAGATGATAGTTGTATGTGCAGATTCGCTCAAAGCAAATCGTATTTTAGAATGGTTAATTGTTTAAGTCATGTGACTTCCAATGGTTTCTTGTACTCTTGTTGCCACTTGCTTTTAAGGATTTGATTGCACTTTATAATTGCTGAATATGTTGTGTTGAGTTATATGGCTAGAAATGAGCAACTGCTGTGTTGAGTTGTTACTTGGTTCATGCTGTATAAGCTAGAATCTTAGGTGTTAATGGTGGAAAATAGGAGAAGCCATGTCAATTTCTTGTCGAAACACGCACACAATGTATTCGTAATAATGTTTGTTGAGAATATGTTCATTTAAGCTTTAGTCAAAGAGGTTACTAAGGGAATATGTTTACATTCTATCTTTCTTATGTCTCCAAGAGGATCACGAGTTTGTCTCAAATATTGGATATAGTATTCAAGAGATTGTGGTTTTATTTTAGTTCACTTCTACCTATGTTTATTATTCTTTTTTTTTTTTTTTTTTTTTCCTTTCTTTTTCTTTTTTTTTTTGTATTAGGTAGAATCTAAAGCTCTTAGATTTTATTTCAATGCTATTCTTTTAGCGAGCTTCTGATCCTATAAAGATGTTACTTTTTATCATTTTTAACGCGTAGGCACTGTCGTGAATTTTCTCTAAAAAAAACTATCACCCATGGCATCGGCATAATAGTTTTGAAGAAGCCTAGAAATTTTAAATCTTTTTGTAAATCAATAGATGGAACTAAAGCTTATACCTAGACTTAAATATTCGAACTTTCAATTTGATGTTAGTGGCATGTTTCATATAGTTTGGAATCCCATTTATGAGTTAAAGATTTATCATTCCATGGGCTTTGGCATTGGCATGTTTCTTTTAAATATGTAGATTTATTGCTCTATGGCTTTGAGAGCTTGTGAATGGTTCATACGTGGGGGCTTATTTTGTTTAAAAAAAATATATATATGGATAGAGTTTTCGTGGTCACCTTTAATTCTCTTGACTTCTATAGGGAGCTTTCTTCTTTTTTTTTTTGCTTTATGAGACTTTGCATAGTGGACTTCGCTACCATGTGTTGATCTATGTTGTTTGAGAAGTGAACAATGGATTCATATAAATTGTACTTGAAACATATTATATAATCCGACAAA